TCTTAAATGGGACCTGCTTTACCCACCCTGGAGACGCTGAGTTTTGAATTTTGGTCCTGCTGCTGTTTGGCTCAGATGCCTGTGACACTGGCTTTGCATCAGAAGCCCCAGTTTCTGGTGGTGAAAATGCTCTCTTAGAGAGAAAAGCAATAAAAGCTTGAGGCAACTTTCCCAGGAAAGAAGCTAGAATAGCCGTGGCTTCAGTTGTCTCCACTGCAAAAAGTGAAGCCCCAGTATCTCAACCCGCTGTGTCACAGCGTAAGGACAAAGAAGGTGACAGATGCCCCAGGTCACACCATGAGGCCGTCCAGATCAGCACCAAGAAGCAGATGCCAGGAACTCATGAGCGGAGCAAACACACGCTGTATCCAACAGTGTTTCCCAGCTTCCAATGCCTTAGACTTCACGTCCCAGATAACTTGCAGAAGAGGACCCACCCGTCCAGTGACCAGCGTTTCTCTCCTGCGCTGAGCTGCTCAGCGTTCTGCCTGCCCTCAGTGCTTTCCTCCTTTCCGTCCCTGTAAATGACGACAGTTTCTGTGAGTTCTGCCAAAAAAGAATGGCCTGTGCATCTGTACCCTCAACTCTTCCCTGACTTGAGTTAAAAATCCATTCATTATCTTTTTTTTAAGTGCCAGTGGCTACATTCCCTTTTAGTTTCATCGTTGTCCGTTGCTCCTCTCCAGGCTTGTTTTAGGAGAGGTGCTGCCAGCTCCTGCTTCTTCTGGGAAGCATTGCGGGTTTCCAATAACTGACCTGTCTGCAAAGACTATCGTGTTGTTGGTGATTTAACACAGTTTTTAGCTCAGTGGTTTGAGCGCGGTGCTGACAACAATGACCAACTCTGAGGTCACGGGTTCGATTCCCGCTCGGTCCCCATGTGTTGCCTGGTCTAGTCGAGAGGTGGCGTCCCTGCCCATGACAGGGAGGGTGGACTAGATGATCTCTAAGGTCCCTTCCAGCCTCGACCATTCTGTGATTCTGTGATTCCTGCACGGCCTTTGGGAAACTCTTTGTGAGAGCGCAACACCTGCCGGAGCTGCCCGTGATGAAGAGCTCGGCTCGGCTCTACACGAGCCAAAAAGTTGCCCAGAAAGACACCTGACCCTTGTATGTGTGAAGGTTTAGTCTTGTGTCTTCTGATTTGTCCCCCTCTCTCTTTCCTGCAGCACCTACTATTACTTTGTGACCAAATTTCCGCTGTTCCTCATCAGCTGTCTGATAAATGCTTTCCTGATGGTCCTGCAGTTGCTACACATATTTTGGTCCTACCTCATCATCCAGATGATCTTCGGTGTCGTCCTCCATGATGCGGTAGGAAAAAAATCTTTGTCTCCTCTGTGCCCCCACTGCTCTGCCAGAGCGGGGCACCCAGGGTGGCTCCCGTGGGCACACAGGGAAGCTGTGGGAGTGGTGGGGCCGCCCAGCAAACACTGAATCACGGAATGTTGGGGTTGGAAGGGACCTCTAGAGATGATCCAGTGCCACCCCCTGCCAGAGCAGGGTCACCCAGGGCAGCCCCACAGGAACGCGTCCAGG